AGCAAACTGTAGCCAGCTTCGGACCCTGTATATTGACAATAACTCCTTCAGTGGACAACTTCCTAGTTCAGTTGCAAGCCTGTCGACAACTCTCCGGAATCTTTTCTTAGGAAACAATAGGATTTCTGGGTTTATTCCATCTGACATAGGTAATTTGGTTGGTCTGCAAGTACTTGCGATTATGAATATTCCCATATCCGGAGGGATTCCAGAGAGCATTGGTAGGCTTCAAAACATGGCCGCTTTATACCTTTACAACACCAGCTTGTCAGGCTTTATACCTTTACAAAACATGGCCGCTTTTCTTACACAGTTGAATACACTTGCTTTATACAATGACAACTTGGAGGGTCCAATTCCAGCAAGCTTGGGGAACTTGAAGAACCTGTTTATTCTTGATCTCTCAGCGCAGAAACTGAATGGTTCAGTCCCCAGAGAGGTTTTCAAACTTCCTGCACTTTCCTACATCTTAAATTTGTCACACAATTCGTTGTCTAGGCCACTTCCTACTGGAGTTGGTAGCCTGGCAAACCTTAACGCACTGTTTCTGTCAGGAAACCAGTTGTCTGGCAACATACCTGATAGTATTGGAAACTGCAAATCGTTGGAATTGTTGTTGCTGGATCAGAACTCGTTTGAAGGCAGGGTGCCTCGATCTTTGGAGAATTTTTAAAAGGTCTTTCTGTTCTCAACGTGACCATGAACAAGATGTCTGGGAGTATTCCAGATGCCCTTTGTAGTATTGGCGGCATACAAGAATTGTATCTAGCACACAACTTGTCTGGATTGATCCCCACATGTCTTCAGAATTTGACATCATTGTCAAAATTAGATCTGTCCTTTAATAATTTACATGCATGTAAATTATTAAAGGACAGATCTAATTTTGACAATGATGTCAAATTCTGAAGACATGTGGTGAAGTGCCAGAAAAGGGTATTTTTGAAAATAGAATGAACCTGTCCGTTCAAGGGAATGATGGCCTTTGTGGTGGAACACCTCAGCTTCATTTAGCTCCATGCTCCATGTTTGCTTCAGAAAAGAAGAAAAGGCATTTTTCGAAGTCCCTTATGATTACCCTAACATCAATCAGTGTGCTTGTAGCTTTAGTTTCAGTAGTTATACTTATTAAGTTGATCCACTCGAAGCTCAGAAAAAGGCATGAAACTCAACTCACATCCACAACTGAGGAACAGTATGAAAGAGTTTCTTATCATGCATTGTCAAATGGGACCAATGAATTTTCTGAGGCCGGTTTGCTTGGACAAGGAAGCTATGGCATGGTTTATAAATGTACTTTACATGATCAGGGCACTACAGTAGCTGTAAAGGTGTTTAACAACACAGCAGACTCGGACTATTCGGCCTGTTCGCTTGTTGGTTTCAGCCAGCCCAAACCAGCCAGCTAACGGTGTTTTCCTCTCACAAAAAACAGCACCAGCACCAACCAGCAAACAGGCCCATTAAAAGTTTTGTGGCTGAATGTGAGGCACTGCGAAGGGTGCGTCACCGTTGTCTTATAAAGATCATCACTTGCTGCTCAAGCATCAGTCACCAGGGTGAAGAATTCAAGGCACTAGTTTTTGAGTTCATGCCAAATGGTAACATGAAGGGGTGGCTTCACCATGAACCTGAGAGTCGTTTCCAGACGGTTTTTTATTTTATTTTTAATCCTTTTTTATTTAATATTTTAATAATAATCGCTCCTAATTTTTTTTTGCAGATCTAACCCGCTGGCGTGACCAAATAACGTTGTCGCGCCACATGCAATGGCGCGGCAACATCCGCCACGTTAGACGGCGTTTCCGACGTGAAAAACGTTGTCACCCCACTCCTGCTGGCGTGACAGTATTGTTCTGTCGCACCACCGGGAGTGGCGTGACAAGACTAAATCTTTAAAAAAACATAACTCTTTGATACAACGTCGGATGAAGATGAAATTTATATAAAAATTATAGCTCTCGATGAGATCTACAACTTTGTAGTTTTTAGTTTTTTCATTTAAGGACGTTAAGATGCTCAAAAAATAATATAAAATTTCAGGAGCATAATAACCACGTACTAGTACTGGTCGTATTAGAAAAATAATATCGTTTCTGTATGTTGTCAAATGAAAATAATTTTTATATGAAAGTTGTAGCTCTCAATGAGATCTACAACTTTGTGGTTTTGAGTTTTAACATTTGGAGTCGTTAAGATGCTAAAAAAAATAATATAAAATTTTAGGAAAATAATAACCGTGTAATAGTACTTGTCGCATTAGAAAAATAATATGGTTTATGTATGTTGTCAAATGAAGATATTGTTTACATGAAAGTTGTAGCTCTCAATGAGATCTACAACTTTATAGTTTTGAGTTTTAACATTTGGAGTCGTTAAGATGTTTTAAAAAAAATAATATAAAATTTTAGTAGCATAATAATCGCGTAATAGCGCTTGTCGCATTAGAAAAATAATATCATTTTTGTACCGTGTCAAATTAAGGTACTTTTTATATTAAAATTGGAGCTTACAAGATCTACAACTTTTATTTAAAAAGTAGTTTTACGTGACATCAAATAAGAAATATGCGATTTTTCTAAAAAAGATAAGTTTTGATGTTAAGACCTCAAATATGAAAACTCAAAACTATAAACTTATAGATCTCATTGAGGGCTACAACTTTGATATAAAATATATCTTAATTTGATACCATAAAAAAAGATATTATTTTTTAAATACGGTAAGCGCTGATACGTGATTAATATGGTGCTGAAATTTTATATTATGTTTTTGAGCGTCTTAACGTCCTCAAACGAAAAAACTCAGAACTAGAAAGTTATAGATCTCGTCTAGATCTACAATTTTCATATAAAAATTATCTTCCTCTGACGTCGTATTGAAGAGTTATGTTTTTTCGAAAATTTAGTCTTGTCTACTGTCACGGCACCGGGAGTTGCGCGACAAGCTTTTCCATGTTGGAAACGCCATCCAACATGGCAAATGTTGCCACGCCACATGCATTGACGCGACAGCGTTGTTTGGTCACACGCCGCGATCAAAAGGGTTAGATCTAAAAATATTTTTTGAAGTGGTTATTATTAAAATATTAATTAAAAAATAATTAAAAAAATTCTCCACGGTCCAACCAAGACGTGGACAATCCGCCATGACACGAAACCTTCAGAGTTGAGCTGTCCAACTCTCCTCTTCTTTGGTTCAACCCATCAGCCCAATGTGGCTACACAGCACGACTCAACAAAAGTTCTCTGCGCCTCCCGGAGCGCAGTGCCCATTGCCTCGCCGTAGAGGGGATTTTTTTCTTAAATACGCAAAAGATTTACTGAAAGAAATATTTGATATAACAACGTGCTTCTACAAACGCTCTAAGAGGTATACAGAGTTATAGCCGTGGGCTGGACATCTTAGCATATAAATACAGATTTCGATATTACACGAACGAGACTAATGGACAGTTGCGCGCACAACCACCGTGGGCTGGAGGCAGCTGGCGCGCACAACCACCACCATGGTTCGCCTGTGCCCACCCACGAAGCTGTTGGCAAGTCAACATCATCTATTGCTCCCTTGTCCAAAAAAAAGAGAGAGAAAACATCATCTATTTTTTGCGTCCCACTCCCACCTCCACATAGCCACATTCGTACGTACTCGGTACTCCTATTTTAAATGAAAGCCGGGAAACACTGGACGACACAGGGCCACAAGGCAGCCATCACGATGGCCCCGTCCTCGCTTCCCCACCTCCTCTTCCTCCTTGCCTTGACGTCGTCCGTCGCCGTCCTCGCTGCCGCCGCCGCCGGCAGCGAAGGCGACCACCACGGCCTGACGCACATCCACCTGTACGTGCACGAGACGTACACCGGGGCGAACGCGACGGCCACCGCCGTGCTGCAGTCCCCGCTGGGCGCCAACTCGTCGTTCGGGAGCATGGGCGTGGTGGACGACGAGATACGCGTCGGCCCGGACCGGTCGTCGCAGCTCGTGGGGCGGTACCAGGGCGTCTTCTTCGGCACGAGCCTGGAGCTGGGCAAGGGCTACCTGACGTCCATCACGCTGGTGTTCACCGCCGGCGAGTACGGCGGGAGCACGCTGTCCGTGCAGGGCCCCCTGCTCGGGTTCACCGGCACCATCGAGCGCGCCGTGGTCGGCGGCACCGGCAAGTTCAGGCTCGCGCGCGGGTACATGCTCTTCAAGATGATAAGCAAGCCGACGCCGGAGACGGACGTCAACGAGATCAACCTGTTCGTGCTCATGCACCCAGCTGGCAAATACTAGCACACACCTTGAGACTTGAGTGAGTAGTGTGGGCTAGTTGCTACCTACATTATTGGGCAGTGGGTGAAGTGTCTATGTCCAATCAACATCAGAGCATACTGTTTTCGACGACGTGAAGTGCATCCAACTGTTTCAGATTTGTTTGTCTTGATGAAACCCAGTAAACACGCAATTTCCTTGTCCTCTGAAAAAAGATTTCCTTGGCCTAAATTGAGGTGTTCTGTTTCTTGGGCAGAGTCAATCATCAACCTTTGCTTATTCCTGTTGGGCTTCCTTATCTCTTTGTTCTTCCTAATCCAATGATGAACTGTATAGGGTCAGTAGATACACCTTCAGCTCTCCACCGATCCGTCATCTCTCTACACCTTCAGCTTAAAAAAAATTATAGCAGCCAATCAAGCAACTAGTTTGCCAAATCCAAATATGAAAACCTGGTAATGCGCAACTTCACCAGCGTACAATGGTACAAGAAGTTTTTTTTTTCGAGAATGCACTTAGCACATGTTTCCACAATGGTACAATAAGCAAGTATAACAAATAATAATTGTGTTGATTTCATCATTGTCATAGGCTCATAGCTATGAATGAAGGTTCTAAACCGTACAATGATTTAGTTCAGAACTGGGCCTCCTGCTTTGCTGCTTCTATGATTTTGAACATCAGAAACTTAATCAGAATAAGAGGATTCGGCGGCTTGCTTGCTTCTCTTCCAGATCTCCGTCCAGCTAGCTGGCAACCATGAGGTACGCGTCTCTGATCGCACGCATCTCCACAGCAGCATCCCGCATCGCCATTCGCTCTCTTGGCTGCTGCTTTGAGCAGGAGACGCCGAGCCGGATCACTGAAACCAAGCACTCCTCGCTCGGGCTTCTAATTTTGGCAGCATCAGCAGTATCTTTTGCCTTAGCTTCTTCATGCAGCCAGATTACTGGATCGGCTATCTCCGAGGCTCCTTTGGGAAGAGCGGCTTCGGCAAACCTATGAAGGTCCAACGAGTCTTTGAACATGTCGTTAGTAGGGCTCCTCCCGGTGAACATCTCAAGCAACAGTATGCCAAGGCTGTAGACATCCCCAAGAGTTGAGACAGATCGACCCTCGCCATACTCTGCAGTGTCATTCAAATTTCGGACATTAGTTTATTTCGTCGATGGATTCAGTACACATGCAGAGGCAGCTAGACATGACAGAGTGGAAGTTAGAGACCGAAGGTAACATTGTGAGTAGGAACTTCTGTTACCTGGAGCGACATAACCAATTGGAGCCCCTCAGTCCAGTGAAGCTGACTGAATTTAGCAGGGTTTTACTAGTGCCATCAGAAAGGATTTTCGATATGCCGAAATCTACAACCCGGGCACTCATATCCTCTGCAAGGAGGATGTTACTTGGCTTGAGGTCGCTATGGACTACCGGTGGCTGACACTGATTGTGAAGATATTCTAGAGCATCCATGATGTCTACAGCAATGTCTAGTCTCTGAGCTAGGCTGAGCGTATTACTCAGAGTGTGTACTTTAGATACTGGATGCAGCCAATCATTTAGACTACCGTTCGGCATGAACTCAAAAACCAGTGCCTTGAATTCTTCACCTTGATGATTGATGCTTGAACAACAGGTGATGATCTTTATGAGACAACGGTGACGTACCCTTCGCAGTGCCTCGCACTCAGCCACGAAACTTCTAGTGGACCCAGACTGTCGTATGTTAAACACCTTTACAGCTGTGGTAATACCTGATCATGTAAAGTGCATTTATAAACAGCACCATAGCTTCCTAGTCCGAGCAAATTAGCCTCTGAGAAACCACCAGTTCCATTTGACAATGCTTGATAAGAAACCCTTTCGTACTGTTCATCAATTAGTGTGGAAACGAGTTGGCTTGCCTTTCTTTGTCTGAACCTCTTGTGGATCAAATGAATAAGAGCAACTAGTATACCTAAGAATACAAGTGCGCCAATTGATATTAGGGTGGCCATAAGGGATCTTGACACTTGTCTTTTGTTATCCACAGCAGCCATGGAGCATGGAGCTAAATGTAGTTGAGGCGCTCCGCCACAAAGCTCATCATTTCCGTGAATCGACAAGGACGTTGCATTTGCAAAAACACCCCCTTTTGGCACTTCACCTTGGAGATCATTGAAGGACAAATCCAATTTCGACAATAGTGTCAGGTTCTGTAGAACTGCTGGAATCAAACCTGAAAAGTTGTTGTGTGCTAAATACAACTGTTGCAGGTTGCCAATACTAGCAAGGGCATCAGGAATACTACCAGACAGCTTATTCATGGTCAGGTTCAGTAAGGCGAGACCTTTTAAGTTCTTCAGAGATTGAGGTATGATTCCCTCAAATGAGTTCTGATCCAGCAGCAGCCGTTCCAGTGAAATGCAATTTCCAATACTGTCAGGTATGCTGCTTGACAACTGGTTTCCTGATAGAATCAGTTGGTTAAGGTTTGCCAAGCTACCAACTTCAACTGGGAGTGGCCCAGACAATGCATTGTATGATAAGTCTAAGTACCAAGAAAGCTGAGGAAGTTTTAGCACCTCTTTGGGAACTGAACCATTGAGTAGACTTGTTGACAGATCAAAGACAAATACATTCTTCAAGTTTCCCAGGCTCCTTGGAATGGGCCCCTCTAGATTGCCATAGTATGCATAAAGCCTGTTCAGCTGTGTAAGATTTCCTAGTGATGGAGGTATTGAGGCCTGACAAGCTAGTGTTGTAAAGGCCCAACTCAACCAAGTTTTCTAGCCTACCAATGCTCTCCGGGATCGCTCCAAATATGGAGTTATTTGCCATCTCAAGTAATTTCAGACCAACCAAATTGCCGATGTCCGATGGAATAGCTCCAGAAATCCTATTGTCTCCCAGATAAAGAGTTTCGAGAGTCATCGATAGGTTGGCGATTGAACCGGGCACTTCACCACTGAAAGAGTTGTTGCCAAGAATCAGATTCTGAAGCTGGCTGCAGTTCGTCAGGGAAGTGATGAACTCCCACCCTTGACTGTCGTTGGCTTGTAGCCTGTTGTCACCCAAGTCCAGGACAGTGAGACCTTGCAACTTCCCCAGAGCAGGAGGCACATGTCCAATAAATCCATTTCCTGCGAGGCCAAGTTCTATGAGAGCAGAGAGGTTGGAGACCGAAGGTGGGATAGCTCCACTGAACCGGTTGTAAGAGAAGCTAAGGGTTTCTATGCCAGGGAACCTGTCGCCAATATCAGCAGGGATAGTTCCAGACAGCATGTTGAATTCTACCCCGAAGTTCTTCAGCGATGACAGATTGTACAGGGACTGTGGAAGCACACCCGATAGGCTGTTCCCAAAGAGGAAAATGGTCTGGAGGCCTCCAATGCTGCCAAGCTCATGTGTTACCGGACCCTCGAGTTGGTTGTCTGTCAGATCAAGGTAGTCCAGGGATGAAAGGTTACCTAGTGATCCTGGGATGGCGCCCGTCAGGCTGTTGTTGGCCAATAAGAGCCCCCGAAGATGCGTGAGCTTGTTGCCGAGCTCGACAGGGATGCGCCCATGGATTTGGTTGCTGCTGAGGCTCAACAGCAGTAAGCTGACGCAGGAGCTGAGGTTGGCGGGCAGCGTGCCGGAGAACGCATTGTAGCTCAGGTCCAGCGCCTGCAGACGCGCTAGGCGGCCAATGCTCTCCGGGATCTCCCCCTGGAACCAGTTGGAGCTCAGGTTCAGCGTCCGCAGGAACGTGAGGTTCCCGATGGCCGGGGAGAGCGCGCCGGCGAGCCCGTAGGAGGGCAGGCTCAGCGACACCACCTGGCCGCCGCCGCTGCACGCCACGCCTTCCCATCTGCAGACGCCGGTGCTGGCGTTCCAGGAGGCCAGCACACCGGAGCTGCTGCTGCCAGCGAGCTCAGCCTTGAAAGCGAGCAGAGAACTGGCCTCGTCGCTGGCACTGCCGTGCGTTCCCCAGGAGGCCATTGCAATCATGACGAAGGTGGCGGCGCGCAGCAATCTCATGACACGCATTGCCATGGTGGTGCTGGGCTGGAGCGTAGCCAAGAGCTGGCTGAGCCTTGCCCTATGTTTATCCAAAAATAGAAAGGGGCCAAGCCTTTCTTGGTCAGAGTCAGAGCATGGGAGCGAGCAACTTGCTGTATTTTTTTAATCCTGATGGATGCGTGCTAATGCATGCAGCATGCAAATCCATCGCATCTGATTCATGATCCGGTGAGACGTCGCTGCACACTGCTTCCTTCAATCTTTGACTTTCACGTGTCCTTTCCAAGTTTGTTTTGGGCTTTGCCAGTTTCTGGGGATTTTTTCAACTAGATTAGAAACATGTTCCAACCTGTGGAGCATTAGCAATTAGCAAACATGTTCTGTTCCTAATCTGAGACAAACCTTGATTCAGTTATATTCACAGAATTACCCAATTCTGCTCTAGCAATTATTCCTTCTGTTCAAAAATCTGCAAACAGATGAAGTAATTTCTAACATAAGGATATCTAAAACTCAACAATGAAAAGAAAATACAGTCAACAAAAAGCAAAGAGAAGTAGCCGGTAGTCGGTAGTCCAGAGGCAGCAAATTAGCAAAAGACAATAATAGATTTACCTGAGAATAGATTAGGACTGGCAGCGTGGAAGTGACCAAACACAACTGTGACAGTACTAGATGAGTTCCTGAGTAGCCAGGCAACGTATGATCTATAAATTTAACAGAAGAAGACGGAGGTACAAGTTAAGCAGAGGTATGCCAAAAATGAAGTGATTGTACCATCAGTTCAGTTTGTAACTGTTTGCCAGCCGTTTGAAACCAGCAGTACTAATTCAGCGTTTTCCAACTTCTATGGAAGATATAAAACATAATTTTATCCATAGTTTACTTGTCCATATGTTGGCAACAACAAGACAACACACATAACAGATGAACAAGCAAATAATTTCACATGCCCCTCAGAGTACAAGCATGTAAAACAGTACTTGAAATTGTACTAATAATCAGACAAGCATACTCTAATATTGCAAGTCTGACAGAAAACCTTTTAATAATGTCAATGATTATTTGCTGATGAGTGATGATCTCCTTTAGCCCAAGATGTGACCCTTGTGAATTTTGGTATGGACACTGACACTGACATACAAGATACAGGACATTGTGATGTGTGTCATGTGCCCATTAAAAATGAATTCCCATCATCCTCTGTTTATAGCATAGAAGCAAGATGCCAATGAAGAGTGAACTATTTATGAACATGGGATAGTACTGACCGTGGAACCAGTTTTAGATTATTCCGTATCAATTATCATACTTACTTACTTAGAGACTTGTCATCTGCGACAGCCCCATATTTCTTCATACATATAGCTTTCACCAGTATCTTGGTTCTTGGTTCTGAAATCATCCTGCACGACATCATCAGTGTCTAATATAGCAGACTCATTGAGCTTTCCTTGGGAGTCAAGTTCATGAACTGTAATAGCAAATGGTCGTTGATCTGGACCTGAAGCACTCCTCCCCATTTCATACCCACTGGGAAGAAAATACCTTATCCTTGTCCTTGAAGCTCATTTTTCCCCACCCCCACCCATTCGAATTGAATGGATACCCACTGGGTTCTCCATCCCCCTTTACAAGCATCAAAATGGCAATAGCAACATCATGATTTATATCAACACAATAAGACTTCAAGATACTAAAGATGGACATCAATTGACCATGACATATTAAATAGAATCAAAGGTGGCTCAACATTTCATATAATGTTTTTTATATGATATAAGATACGCACAGATCCAATGTCATATTTAACCACATCCCAAGTATGGGGATTAATAACAACTGCCATGAAACAGTGGACAGGGCCATTGCCATCCCTAGTAAGAGGTTGGTCTCTAACCAGCTTGATGACAGTGCTCTGTCATAAGCCATATGAGAGTTGTAAACTCACCACCTATGCTAAGCTGTTTAGCATGCGACTCCCTGCTGCATCGGTTGGCCACATAGACTAGAATATCTGTCCACACATCTAAGACTATTCGCAATAAGTCCTTCTCTTTGCCCTCCCTCTTGAGCAGTTTTTCCGCTAGACTGATCCCAAATCTTACACGAGATTTAATGCCAAATTCGTCCAACTTAGGCTGGTGATCGAGTAGTCTCTTGGCAAGTTGCTCTCTTCGGTGGCTCCAAGAATCAGAGTTGGGGCCACCACCATGTAATTCCACGACCATTGTATAGACGATGTAAATCCAGCTTGCTGAACTGAGAGTGGGGGAAGTTTTTTCTGTCCGTTGGTATAACTTGATCTGAGCAAGGCCAGGTAGCATAGCAGGCGTTCAACAAGGAGGAACATCAAGTAGTGGGAGATTGTTTTGATTGCCCCTACAACACTCTGTGTCCTTGGTCCTCAACTTCCCCAATTTTACGAGGAGGATATCAGTGGCAATGTGCCAGATGACGATGGCCTCTTGGACCTCAGCACCATGTTGTGCCTCGCCAACCTTAAAATCATGGTGCTTTAGTGCGACCTGGCCTCAGTTCTTCCTAATCACCCCCAGTGTGTTTATTGAACCTTCTTCGTTGATGGAATTTATATAATCCACCACATGTTCCTTGACTGTGTCTGGGATGTTAACAGTCCAAACGCTGGAGCCTACCATCCTAGTCCATATGCCGCGAAGAGGTCGGGTTGTGCCCCAACGGATGCACACGACGAAGCTGGTCCCACCTTCCCGAGCACAAGGCTGCAAGCCGAAGGCCACTCCATTGCGTGGAGCATAGAAAGGCAAATGTCTAGGTGGAGAATAGGGCTCCCAACAGCGATATCATCTCCAGAAGCAAGGCACCACCGAACAAGGCATAAGTGATAACAACGTCGACCCTGTTGTACCCAGCTTTGATACTGAACCAGAACAGCAGAAGCAAGGTTGATACTGTGAGCACTGACACAATACGGATGCAATAGCCAAACCAGATGTGGACCATAGCTGCTTTGGTGTAGAGAATGTCGTGCATAAGAGATAGCTCTATCTCCAATTCTCCATCAACGTCCACTTGTACTTGGTGTCTTGTTTTTTGAAGCCTTCAAGGACTCGACCAAGACCAAGACCACCATGGTTACTTCTAATATTTGAACCTTCATCATTAACTGAAGAATCAACCATGGCAGACTTGCTAACATGAAACAGGGCATGAACATGCCGTTTGAAGAATTCTTCTTCTTGGGTAGTATCCCCCTTGAATCCACATGGACGGGTCTCATACTCGAGGAAAAAATTGCACTTGGCCAGTGCCACTGTCTTCACTGATTCCCGGATGATGCTGAAGCTGGCGTGCCTGAGAGACCATGTCCTCTCCCAGAACTTGACAGCTCCAACACCCATCATAAAGGCAGTGCCCATCACGATCAGGGTTCTGTGGTCGGAGATACACCACACAAACTAACCATATCTTGCATGTTACATCAAAAATAAATTTAACTACTGTTGTAACCAGGGAATCAGCAAATCATATATCAGCCTTGTTTGGTACAGCTTATCAGGAAAGCGCTTCCTAGATAAGCTGCACAAATAGAGTAAAAGTGGCGGTCAAAATAAGCTGGTCTGATTCAGTTTCTGCTTTTTAGTACAAATGAGAGTGGTGAGAGTGAGAATAAGCGTGGCTAAAATAAGCTGTAAAAAAGCATACCGTTTGGCTGTTGGTTTCAACTTATTTTGGCCATAAGCAGCTTATAAGCTGTACCAAACAGGCCCATCGTCACGAAGGGAACTTATTCATGCGAAACCATATAATCCAGCAGTTACCCAATTAAGGACACTGCCCATATTGTCATCATCAGTTGCCGCTAACTAATCTGCGGTCGAGTCATATTGTTCACCTGTCTGTCAAAGGTGGAGAGCATGACGATGTCGCTAGTGTTGTCACCGTTCAGTGGCACGTCTGAAGATTCAGTAGTCAATCAGGCTGAATAGTTGTCGTCTGATTGTAACTGATATAATTCTATAAATTGCAATCTTTGTCAATAATAATGAATTCCTGCAAGAAACCTGTAGGCATGAACTATTACAGGAACAATTAAGAGACGTAGATAGAAATTCTACAAACATGTCCTACACAGAACTGGAACGGGCAAGTAACAAGTCCAAGTTGACAATGACTAGAAGCAAATTGACAGACTGCAGCCAGTACTAATTAAATATGCCACATCCAGAGAAAATATGAATCAAGCAAAAAAAGGAGTTAATAAGCAAAAGATGCCCAATGCAAATTTATATTTACATGCTACAATAACTCATGCACTAACGCAGTTCTAAAATCAATATATAAATGCCTACCGAACACTTCAGGTTTTTTGACTTACAGAGCTAGATATTCTTAATTGGGTTGCATGTACACTGCTAAACAAGTGGAGCCACCATCATGACTATGTCCCTTCACCTCCTTTTCAATGGCTTCGTCCAGCCCAGTGCCTCAGCCAGGATCGCTACAAACCAGCATTTGGGTATCTGGGTATAGCCATCAAATTGATTTGGGTATCTGGGTATAGCCATCAAATTAATTGATATGTACAAGAGTATGTATTAAAAAAATAATTTCACGTGTTATGTATAAAAAAATCACTTTAGCAATTGTGTAGCCTCAGTACAAAATTAGTTGAGTGGGTCATAATGTTACTGGGCATTTGGGTATTTGTGTCACTGTCCTGAATGTTGACGAAGTCTTTAGAGGTTACAGAATGAGGTTACTAAGCTGATTATCATTATCATTTTGCAAGGAATAAAGGTGATGAAGTCTTAATTTTCCATTGATATGTGCATCAGAAAATGCATGTAACTCTATGCTGCATTGCTGCAAGTCTGTCTTGGTTGTACTAGAGGAAATTCTTCCTTTGATATTAATTGATAAGAGTCCGAGGTTCTTTGAGTGCCAAAGTGGAGCTCCTCCCTTTTGAATCCATTGGCAACATTCTTTTGCACATAAGCATACAAGGAAAGAGGATTGAGAGGATACTCACTCACCTTGACGGTCGGGGCGCCTTAGTCTGCACAGAGGAGCCAAGAGTGAGCGGAGGTGCGGGGTCGGAGCCGATGGGGACGGAAGCTGAGATGAGTGCAGGCCGGAGGCAGCGGTACGGCCGTGTGTGGCTACGGTCGACGCCCAGGAGCAATCGCCGGTCGCCGCTGGCGGGGAACTGGTGAGGGTGGCATCGCTGACTCGATTCGGCGCCCTCCTAGCGCCAGGGGGCGGAGGGTGGAGACGCCGCAGGCGGTCGACTCCCGATCCCGTCGAAACTCGATAGCGGCAGTTGGGTTTGCCGCATGCCTGATTCTGGCTGGGAGCCGGGGAAGGCCGGGGACGGGGAAGACCATTGCCGGTGGATGCCGGCCGAGAGCGCGCTCCAATTTACACCCTCCAACCTTCGGCCACGTCCGCGTAATTTGGAAACCGTTCAACTTTAACCTGACGGTTTTACGGTGAATAATAACTTTTTATATTTTTGAGAGACGCCGAAATTTTATATTATTTTTTCGAGCATCTTAACATTCTTAAATGAAAAACTCAAAACTACAAAGTTGTAGATCTCATCGAGGTCTACAATTTACATATAAAAATTATCTTCATCCGACATCGTATTGAAGGATTTTCTAATTTTTGAAATTTAAGTTTTATCACGCGACAAAATATGGTGCTGAAATTTTATATTATTTTTTCGACCATTTTACTGTCTTTAAATGAAAAAAAATAAAAATTATAAAGTTGTAGATCTCACCGAGGTCTACAATGTACATATATAAATTATCTTCGTCCGACATCGTATTGAAAGGTTTTCTATTTTTTGAAATTTGAGTCTCATCACGCGACAAAATTGTTTGTCGCGTGATGAGACTTAAATTTTAAAAAATAGAAAACCCTTCAATACGACGTCGGATGAAGATAATTTATATATATAAATTGTAGACCTCGATGAGATCTACAATTTTGTAGTTTTGAGTTTTTTCATCTGAGGACGTTAAGATGCTCGAAAAAATAATATAAAATTTCAGCACCATATTTTGTCGCGTGATGAAACTCAAATTTCAAAAAATAGAAAACCCTTCAATACGATGTCGGATGAAGATAATTTATATATATAAATTGTAGAGCTCGATGAGATCTACAACTTTGTAGCTTTTAGTTTTTTCATTTGAGGACGTTAAGATGCTCGAAAAAATAATATAAAATTTCAACGCCTCCCGAAAATATCAAAAGTTACTGTTCGCCCGCAAAACCGCCCAGAAGGTTGGAAGTTGAACGGTTTCAAGAGTTAGAGGGCCAAAGTTATCCAGTTTTGAAGTTCGAGGTTGAAATCCGGACTTTGGTGAAAATTGGAGGGTGTAAATTAGACTTTACCCTTTTTTTAATTACTGGATAAATGTTGCAGAAAAAATGGAATTTGAATTCTATTTAAAATTATTGTTTATAATGCACGACAATTTTAATAAACTTTAAATGGCTTTTATTGAAACCTTTCATAGAATCAAGTAACGCAACTTTCAAAACTAAATTACTCTTCTCTTTTAGTGACATGCTAAGTCGAAGCTTGTCACCCCATGTTGATCGGCAACAACGTAGGCTAGTGGCAGCAGGACAGCAAGCAGCTAGTGGTGATCTTCACGTGGTGCAGGGCGGGATCCAGTACGAGTACTGACATGCCTTCATGGCTCTCGGCTGTCGCGTGGTGGCCATCGACCTCCGTGACCGAGTCACGGCCTTGCGCGCCACGTGCCTGGCGAAAGACGCCGGCGTCCGTGGCCTTCCTCATCATGCCGCGCCAGCACATCGCGGACGGCGGCGCCGATGCTGGCGGCGGAGGTGACGTCGAGCTGGAGCGCCTCTGTGGATGGCGTGCCAGCGAGGTCAGCGACCAGGCTGATGTGGTGCCCTCGCTGAAGTAGCTATTGCTGTTGTCGACGTAGTAGACGCTGTCCTCGTCCTCCCGGCGCCAGGCAAAGCAGAGTAGTAGCCGGTCATCTCCGTGGCGCTGCGCTGGGCATGCTTGGGCAAAGCATAGCTGCCATGTAATGAATCTATGTCGAAAAAAACAATTAGGGATAGGAACGATGGAATGACCTAAGCAACAATTCGAATAAAAGAGTTGTTCACAATGGTAATGTCAGAGTAAGGAAGAAGGTGAGAGAGCAGAGTACCATCAGTGGAGCTCATGTGAGAGGTAGTGCATGTGTCCATCATCCATAGACTAGGCTGCTGAAACTAGAGCTAGTTTAGTGCTGCAACTAGAGCAAATGGATCCCATGTGTTTAGAGGTGCTAAAACCTTTGAGGGAGACATTGTCATGTGGACCTAGGGAAGATGGCCCGACAATCCAAGCAAGGGAGCTCGCTACGTAGAGGCTTCAGACTGTCCTAGCCATGGGTTGCCTTGTAGATTCAACCACGGGCTGCTGTAACAGACCCATGGGCCATGGGCTACCAGCACTAGCATGCGAGGTGTGGGGGGAAGTGTCATGCTGTTACTGTTCATGGTTGCACCAGTTACGACACCCTGTTGTTGTGCCAAGGTGTTGCCATGGGACGTGTTGCTAGTGCTATATGCTCCTAATGACACTCCCGATGATCGATGCTGAAGAAGTGCGATAGATCATACAATAAGTAGTAGTGGAGGAACACCCGACAAGAAATAATGCTATTTCATAGGAGACTTTTCTTTCATTGGCCAATCGGTGTTCCTTGAGGGCTAGGATATACTATGAGTAGTACTGAAGGTCGGCAGTGGTATGGTGTTGGAAATATATATGTCGGTCGTGTTGAAGAAGCACTTATTGATGCCATGCAGAAGAACTCATTGTGGGTTGGAGATGGTGTGGTCAACGTCCAATAGAGATTGGGTGAGGATCTTCACGTGTTGACAGTACTCAGACATAGGGAGATCGCCTTGAGTCATGAAGTGGAATTCATGACTCAAGAAAATCGTCGGTGGTTCCTTGTTTGCTTGGGAAAGGTTCTCAATGGTTGTCCACAGGGCACTTGGTTTTGATTTGGCTCCATAGCAGGATCAAGGACGTCGGGGGTGACAAAGCCATAGAGCTTACTTTGCACATTGTGATTGTTCATCTCCCAAATAGGGTTGGTTGGCAATGGTGTTGTAGTGCCATTTGATGTGCTTGAGTAGTCAAAAATTACCACACATGGAACATAAGAAAGTGGACCATTTAGCAACGCTGGGATTCTTAGATTCTAGGGTGATGGACACAAGTGATTTGGTGAACATGATGACTATCTTGCTGGCCATGGAAATGCTATTAAGCTAAGATATAGCACTGGATGTAAGAGGATGAGGAAGACATCCTGCCAGGACTAAGGAATCATGCATGCGTAGAGGAGGTCGAAGGGGTGGCATATCATAGGGATGGATTGGGACAACATAGATATAGTAGCGTGCACGGGAGCATGGATGCACATAGATGAGCAAAGGATTGGTGGACTTCTACTCTTGGATCCTAAAACAGATGAAAGTGGAGGTGGATCGCATAGAGGAATGGGGTTTGCGCGAGTAGATATCATGACCATAGAAACTATGGTGTGGAAGGAGCGCACGTGAGCAAAGGAAAGACAACGACACTAGAGTTAGGGCAGTGTGAGGAGTCAGAGAGAGACCTAGGCTTGTGGTACCATGTAGAAAATAGGAAAACACCTTGCACCCCTAAGATTGGGTGATCTTTCATTATATATAGCCAATTACGACTTGTGTTACAAGAAGAATACAATACAAGTCATATTCAAACTCTCTCTCTAACACGCACATAAGAGAAAAATTCACCGATGATCCTTCAACTCGTTATGCATTTCCATTAGGTCCCATTCACATATAAGAGCACAATGTTAGGAATTAGTTAAAAATTAATTTATTTTAAGTTTTATTTGAGGCCATAAATAAAACACTTAAGTACCACAATTTTCTACCTTCCTTAAGCCTATGGCAGGACTCATCCAACATCAGACCAAACGAAACACATGCATATATCTTATTTACTCTTGGGGATGAATGGCCCCTAATCATAATCTTGAATTGTGTCTAAATGTTCAGCGGAGACAATATCGGGGGGCACATTTGTCAGACAAAAGTTTGGTACATATACAAGCCTCTAGTAAACAACATTTTCACTGTATATGTACGATGGTATGGAGTAACATAGTAGTGTATGATGAAAGCTAGGCACACTCATTAAATATGGAGATTCCACCTTCAGAGACAAGTACCATGACCGTTGAAACACACCATGCATCCAAAGTGGAAAAAATTCATGCTCTGGATTGCATTTCAAATAATTGTTAGAATGAAACAAAATATCAGTTAGAACTAGAATGGACACAAGAATTTAAAGTAACACATTTAGGTACCTTAAATCCAAATGTCATTAGTTGTATGTGCTAGAATCCCTCTTCCAATATGACCTAGGATTTGTAGATTTGATCCACCTTTCATGCATGGCAATGAATGGAACATAACCTTTATCATCAATCAACGACCAATAGTCTAGAAATCCCATTGGATGGCGAGGTTATTACCAGGAACAACATCAAAGTTCTCCATATTAGGTAGAGAGATGTCAAGGTGAGCATACTCCCTATTTGAAATGAGGGCCAAAATGTGCATAGCCCTAACCGGAGAAAATATGTTCTGAAGAGGAACTCATACAACGAAGCCTACTAGACTCTAGTTCTTGAACAATGGGAAGGTGGCCTTCATCCTCCTTGAGATGGCATGGTTGATTAGGTGAAGTAGTTGGACAGATTATTGGAGATGGAACATTATCTTCAACAAATGGTGGATTGGAAATGTAACGATGAGCTCCTTGAGATTCCCCATGTCAAGATAATTGCAATTGCAAATCCGACACCAAATCCCAATCCAGCAAAAAGGAATAGTACAATGTCTATTGATACCTTCTTTGACTGATGTAGAACCATATCTGGTGTCATGTTGTGACATGCTTTGGACACTTGAAACCCACACAGATCAATATTTCCTAAAACTGAGAGATCGGAGAATGTCAAGAAGTGGGAAGACTCGGGTATTCTTCCCTGTAGTTTGTTGTAGGATAGATTCAACACTGAAAGAAAGTCCAATGATGCCAACTCCCATGGGATCTCTCCAGAAAGTTCATTTGAAGACAAGTCTAGTGACTCAAGTTGATGTCTCATGCCAAGCTGAGATGGTATCGGTCCAATGAGGGCATTATGTGACATATTTAGCCCACCAAGTAGAACAAGGTCCCCAATTGACTCAGGAATAGTGCCATAGAATTCATTATTAGAAACATCAATGATGACAATGGTCCTCAATATTTTAGAAAAACTAATATCAGATCCTTTGTATGTGATGGCAGTGGTGAACTGGTATGTTTGGCCAAGTAGATCATATTGATTTTCCATGACCAACGTCTCATTGACATCTTTAGTCATCATGGATCCCATTGACGTAAACCACTTGTTTCTCAATAATCCAGAGAAATTATTTGAAGCCAAGTCAATAATTCGAAGTTTTCCAAACTCACAACTATTTTGATATTCTGAAATAGATGGCCCCACATCTCCAATGAACCTGTTGGACTTTAGAACAAGGACTTGAAGTTTAGGAAGCATACTCATCCAACATGGAAATGTATCATTAATAAGATTCTTCCCAATATCAAAAACCTCCAAGTCTTTGCAAGCAACTAGAGATCTAGGTAATTGTCCTTCAATCTGATTATCACTAAAGTCTAATGCCTCAAATGCACAATCTTGCTTCAGGCTATTTGGTAATCTTCCATGAAGTTGATTTCCTTTCAAATTTAATACATTGAGGCGACTCATATCCTCTAGTAAACAAGAAGGGATGGAGCCAGTCAAATCATTATTGGAGAGATCAAGGAGCATAAGGCTTGTTGCTTCACAGATTGATTGTGGAATTTCTCCAGACAACTTGTTTCCATGAGCCATGAGTAGGGAAATACTACTTAAGTGAGAACCAAAATTGAATGGCATGGATGAGAATTGGTTGTTTGAGCAATCAAATAGTTGGTTCTGCGGTCCTGGTATAGGTATAGGCCCTTCAAATCGGTTATAACTGATATCGATAACAAACATATTAGCAAAAATGACAGAGCCATATCCAATACCACTACTAAATTGGTTGTGTGATATGTTCATCAAGATGAGAGAGTTGATCCAATTATCCCATGCCCACTGAGGTAGAGGGCCATGGATGTGATTGTTTGAAAGGTCAAGAACTTCAACAGAATACATGTGCTTCAAGGTATTAGGGAGCTTGGATATGTTACAAGATGCTAGACATAGAGTATCAAAGTTTTGGATGGATTCCCATGAAGAATTGTATTCTCCATCTACTACGGAAAGCTTGTTGTTTGAAAGATTCAGTATGACTAGGTTGGGCATTTCGAAGAATGAGTTGAGTTGGATGGTACCACTGAAACTATTGGAATGTAAATTTACGATGCCTAATTGAGTAAGATTAAATAGATGTGGAGGAATTTGACCAGAAAAATTACATGCATACAATTTCAATTTAATTAGGTTCTTGAGGTTACCTATGAAGGAAGGTACTTGACCAGATAACCCACAGTTCGAGAACTGTAGAGTTTCCAGAGAAGTCAAATTTGCAACCCAAGATGGTATTTCTCCTACTATACCAGCCCCAGAAACATGCAATGATGTTAATGATCTGAGCTCACCAATTGAAGTGGGAAGCTGCTCCTGGTGAAAGTCAACTGCTGCAATACCTAATTTCTTCAAGGATTTGAGATTACTTATTGAACTCGGAATGGGACCAGAGAAGTTGGTGTTGCTAAAAACCAGTTCCTTCATAATACTATGTGATGAGAAATTGGGAAGTAGACCAGATACCTTGGAATTATAACTAACATCAACAGCCGTTAAGTTTATGTTCTGGAAGATCCTCATTGGGAACCGTCCTTCGAGGCGATTATAGGCAAGCTTAAGAACACTGAGGGAAGGTAAGTCAGCAAAGGACTCTGGAATTTGGCCATAGACTTTGTTATAGTTTAGGTTGATCATGGTCAGTGAGCGAATGCTGGACAACGATTCACAAATTGGAGCATCGATGTGTGTATTTGGTAGGCTAAGAACCTGAAGCTGTGGAGTGGAATTAGCAAAGGCACTGCACCATGTTGCCCCGTTGCCGGATAAGTCGACATTGCCTAGATAAAGCTCCTTGAGGTTGCTAAGGTTAGCGACGAATGATCCAATGTCTGGCTCTACGATGGGCCACCTTCCTTCGCCGAGTGGCAGGAAATAGTCATTGTCACCTTCAACAAGATAAATCCAGTTGGTGAAGTCCAGGGATACCAGCTTGTTGAGCCGCCGTATCCCGTGCGGTATGTTGCCTATGAAGTCGGTGTAGGAGAGGTTGAGGTAGGTGAGCTCGGTGAGCAGCTCAAACCCAACAGCCGGGAGCTCCGACTCGTTGAAGCTGTTGGAGGAGAGGTCCAGGTACCTCAGGGAGGTGAGCTCAAAAAGCGCCGGGTGGAGACCGGCGCTCTGCAGCCCGCATTCGGCGAGGTCGAGGGTGGTGACGCGGCCGTCAGCGGTGGCGCAGGCGACGCCCTCCCAGCGGCAGCAGTCCGTGCCGGGCCGCCACGACGCGAGGGTGCATGTGGAGTCGGTGGTGGTGGTGGTGAAGGAACGCCGCAGCCGGAGCAGCGCCGTGGACTGGTCCGGCCGGCACGGAACGGCTGCTGCTGGTGGTATGGTAGTTTGGTTGCTGTAGGTGGCGAGGGAGTGCGAGAGCTGATGTTGGATCCCAAGGAACAAGTGAACGAGCAAGTGCAGGTACAGCAGGAGCTGCTGGCGGTGGCTGGTAATGGAGACCATCATCATGCTGACTGCTTAGAACCTGGGACTCATTCGTCTAGCTCGGTCGTTGCCCACGCTCTGGGCCTCTGGCCTCGTATTTATATTTATATCGAGCGACACGGACACGGCACACGCAAGTCACCCACACACTTGTCCGGTGACGTTTTCAGAAACAGAAAGATAATACGTGGACAGCTACGCGTTCACGAATCTAATTAACCACCTTTGCATGCAAGTAATAACAACAGAAATGTTATACAACATATGTGTTTTAACAAAAAAAAAAACACATGGATTTTTTTATATCTCTCTCCCTCTCTCTCACCGGTGACCACCGGCGCCGGCGACGGCAACCGGCGAGCTCGCCCCGGCGCCCGCGCCCGCGCCGGCCATGGAAGTGGCGGTGGCGGCGGCGGCAGCGGATGATCTGTGATTTGTCCTTCCATAGAAAAAAAAATTGTGATCTATGGTCTGTGGAGGCTGGGGGTAGAAGAAGGATGGAGGCTGTTGGATCTTAATCCTATGGTGCAAAAAAATTCATATGTTAAAACTGCATAGAATACATGATTGTGTAGTAGATAGACTCTAAATTAAACTTGAAATTAATGAAGTGATATTAGAACTGATTAGTACTAATTTATATGTGTTAATGTTGTTACTTGTTAAAGAACATGTATTTGAATGGGTCTAACCTAAGTGTAGCTCGGTCGTTGCCCACGCTCTGGGCCTCTGGCCTCGTATTTATATTTATATTGAGCGACACGGACACGGCACACGCAAGTCACCCACACACTTGTCTGGTGACGTTTTCAGAAACAGAAAGATAATACGTGGACAGCTACGCCTTCACGAATCTAATTAACCGCCTTTGCACGCAAGTAATAATAACTACGGTACAACAACTAGAGGCAATTTCAGGGCATATTCGTGGTGACCCCTGACTCGTGACCAAGTCCTGAATCCTGATGCCGTGATGCGGCCGGCCGGCCGGTCTCGATCAGTCGCGGTTGGTAGGACGTACTCTCAGTACAGGTGGGTGTTTTGACTATATACACAGTGTAAAATAATAACTCTTCTGTTTTCCGTCAAGAGCATGCGTCTACACGCTAGACAGCATTACGCCACAAAGTAATTTGTAATCCCCGAAATAGTATTGAACTTGAACCATTTTTGTCAGGCTCGTGGCGGCCGGACCGTAGCCCAAAAACTAAGTGCCGGGTAACTAGCTTATGAGTTTTTTTTTATCATATATATAACTTCACTAGATACTGCCTATACGTGTTTATTGAGAACGAGAGAACTGATCGATGATGTTACCTTCTGCACTCGTTTCGACCCAACGTAGGTCTGCCCCTGGTGGAGGCTAGCTTACCTGAGTATGCCTTTAATGACGATTTTTTAGATGATAAAAAAAATATTAATTCCAGCTCCAAATTAATTAACACCTTCATGGAAGGGACATCAGAGATAACGAATATTACAAGCACAGACTAGCGCTCTGTTCATTTGGGTTTGTTTGGCTTATAAGTCATGGTTGAAAGTACTGTTGACTGATTTAGTGTGAGAGAAAAATACTATTCGTTGACTGATAAGCCATAGTTTATAAGCCGAATACGATCAAGCGAACAGGCTGTAGGTCTCAACCAGTAGGTCTCAACCAACAAGTATATCCGTAAACTGCATTGCACCAATTTTTTCGTCAGACTACCTAACCCAAAAATTATATGAAAGCGGCGGCCAACTAGTCGTAGTATATGATTTTTTTTATATATAACTTCACTAGATAGTGCCTATATGTCTATAGAAAATGAGAAACTAAATGTGTCGGGTTCATAAACCTGAGGTCCCTCATGGATCTGCTTCCCAGCAAAACCTAGGCCTAACGGACGACGTTGCGAACGACGCGCAACTCCTGGGCCGGCCCAAAATACCTAAACGATAGGCCAGAAGGACGATCTAGTCTCCGACCGAAAGGCCTGGCCAAGGAGGAACGACGCTCGCTTCCGACTCCGGCCAGCCTCTCCCACCGGAAGGCATGGCCAAACAGAAACGACGCTCGCTTCCGACTCCGGCCTGCCTCTCCGACCGGAAGGCCTCGCTTCCGACTTCGGCCCGTCCGGCCCGCCTCTCCGACAGGAAGGCCTGGCCAAGGAGGAACGACGCTCGCTTCCGACTCCGACCCGCCTCTCCGACCGGAAGGCTGGGCCAAGGAGGAACGGCGCTCGCTTCTGACTCCGGCCCGCCTCTCCGACCGGAAGGCCTGGCCGAACGGCGCTCGCTTACGACTCCGGCCTGCCTCTCCGTCCGGAAGGCCTGCCCAAGGAGGAACGGCGCTCGCTTCACCGGATCTCTACTTATAGCTCTTCTCCGACTGGCGCAGCCGGAGCCGACTGGGACCAACCGACCGGGGACGCCCGCTCAGTGAGGACCCAGGAAACGGGCGGAGCAAGTAAGGTAGGGCGCTCAAGTCAACCGTAATACCAAGGACCGTACCTTGTACACCTGCAGGACAGTACCGATAGGGCATGTTAGAAGGGTGCCTTGCAACCTTTCAGGCATGTCAGAACCCAAGCAGTGTTGTGTGCACCGACGTTTGCCCCACAGTGTTGTGGGCGCCATCAATTCCCATACCGGGCGAGCACGGTAAAACCCTCCATGTGTCTCTGGGTATCAACAGTGTTGTGGGCGCCGTCATTTGCCATACATGGTGAACACGGTAAAACCTCCCCATGTGTCTGACATAAACAGTGTTGTGGGCGCCTACAATCATCTTGTATCCGACGGCGTGGGCAACAAGACTTAGTAGCATACATACACACACTCTCTCTCTCACTTGTAAGGTTGTCCCCTTCATCTATAAAAGGGGATGCGCCCTCTCCCAAAGAGGACGATTCGACAAACAACAAACAACACTCAGATCATTCCGACACACTATCTGCCAGTTTTAGACACTCTAAAGCTACATAGAGCACATGCTCGAATACTTAGCGCGTGTCGGAGCTCCTGTCACTCTTGGCCCTTTGGTCCGGAGTCTGACCGGACCTCTGATACCCCCATCTTACTCCCTCTCGTTTGTAACCCCACAGCAAACTTCGAGCACCTAAGCTCAGGAATAAGTCACCGACCGACTCAAACTGGACGTAGGGCACGTTGCCTGAACCAGTATAAATCCTGTGTCATTGAGTGCTAGGCCACATCCGATCACAAACGTACGGCAAAACAACAAATATTTACTAGTTGGTCACTTTTCGCACCGACAGTTGGCCCCGTCCATGGGGACGACGCCGTATGTTCACGCTTTTGGTCATCGAATAGCCCACTTTTTTGCCATCTTCGCCATGGCGGGCTCAAGCGATACGACTCGCTTTGACTTGTTGGAGTTTCCCGCACTCCCACCTATTGGGATGTGGGTTCCACCCATCTTCGAGCCATCCCAGGCCTTCCTCTTTGGAAGCCTAGACTTCATCCCCGACCGGCTCGGCGTGCTTAACCTCCGCGAGGAGGTACCTGTCCTGGTGCCTGTCGGAGGAGGAGCGCCCTCCGTTGGCTTCGAGACACCCGACTACTTCAACAACGAGGCATCTGCGCTTTGCTCCGAGCCCATGCTGGGCTCAAACCTCATTGTGAGTAACATACATACTGTTATTTACTCGCTATTTACTATCTTCTGCCGATTCTCTGGAGGGACCCCGCTGTCCCTGCCGCGACGGCCATGCGACCGGTTCCCCTATGGCCTCACGTCCCCCGCGGACGCGTACGCACAGGGGCTCCGAAGGATGCTGGCGCTGCCCCCTCTCACATCCAAATTCGTGGGGATGGCGAGCTATGCTCCCACCTCTTTCCATGACCTCATGGATGACGAGGTTGAGAGTGACGGCTCCAGCATCGGCGACGTCTTGGCACCTAGCCACCCTCTGTCCTGGGAGTGCGCTATGGAGGACGCTCCGGGACAGTTGTCGGTGGTGGCGGAGTTTCTACAGACCCACACCCCTCTGGATCCTCATGCGGAGGCCCTCGCATGTGCGTAGGAGCACGGCGAGGAGCTACGACAAAGGCGGCAGAACCAGCCGCCACCTGCGCCCGCGTGCTCGACGCAGCACGCTGCACCACGCGTGCACAACCCGGCGAGCGGCACCCGGGGTCATGCGCGCCAGGTCTAGCGGAACATCATGGATGAGGGAACGATCCCCCATAGTTTGCTCGGGCTGGCCAGAACATCGCCGCTGCGGCGATGCTTCTGCGCGGCCTTCCCGAGCCGGACGACCCCAGGAGCAGGCGGTTCACCAGAACCTCCGAGCACTGGTGGAAACCACCGCCATTCAACAGGCGGAGAGCACCACGTCATGCCACCGACCCGTGGACTCTCTCCCCACTAGGGGAGTGGGGACGCACCAGACAAATCGCTCCATCCGCTCGCCGCTGCAGCCACCGGGCGTGGAACAGGAGGCCGCAGCTGCACCATGGCCTGACCTGGCGCTCGCTCCACACCGACCCCCTGTGCGCGAATGGCTCAGGCCGAATCGAGACGCTCATAGCGTCATCAGCAACTGACGTCAGGCCCAGCATGATGATGACGTCCATCAGGCGGCGGTGAGAGCAGGCGACACGGATCTCGACTGGACCACCGAGGGGACCGGTGAGACGCACCCTAGGTGTGGTCACCGACCCAACGACCGGAGTCCTAGCCTGGATGGCCCAGGACCATGGGCCTTTGGCCAACACATCCAAAGAGCGTCGTTCCCGCAGCGCTTCCAACCACCCACCAACATTGCCAAATATACCGGGGAGATAAATCCCGGTATATGGCTCAAAGACTTCCGACTCGCCTGCCGAGCCGGTGGAGTGGATGATGACTACTTCATCATTTAATAACTCTCCATCTGCATGGGGGAACATGTTCGAGCATGGCTCGAATTCCTCCTGCATGACAGCATCTGGGACTGGGCGGACCTTAAGAGGATCTTCGTCGGGAACTTCCAGGGGACGTACGTCCACCCTAGGAACTCCTGGGACCTCAAGAGCTG